CTTTTTCCTTATATTAAATTATTAAATGTTGAATCAATTTTTGTCTTCAAACTTTGGCGTGACAATCGGACTTTTGAAGTTTGGGCTATAATGGCCGAATACTCCAACGCAGTTTAAGTTTAGAATGCTCTGGGGTTGTCTATTGCTATTTTTGTTGTTGAAGAGAGTGAGATAGCATTATCATTATGGGTTGTTTTTTAGCAATCTAGTGTCTAGCTTTACGACTTGTTTAAATTTATAATTAATTTATTATTACACAGAGATGTTTGTTGAATTTTTTTACGTCCCACACTTTTCATTATCTATAGTGATAATTATCTCATCAAAATTCTAAGCTCCTTTGTCCTGCAGCCTGTCTCCTAGTGAAAGTAGCTAGTAGTCCAAAACCCCAACTTAAATTAATAATACCTTAACCGAATCCTGGAATTAAACTGGAATCTTACGCTCAGTTAACAGTAATCGGCCGTACTGCCACTTGAACACTGAATCATTACTACAACGTCAATGTAGTCGTAGATAATCTTTTTCGCTCTTCTCTCGTTAAACGCTCTAAGTATCAAACATTAAATTCTCACAGCAATCTCAAATTTTATAGCAAACACTACATTTGAAGGCTGCGACAACTAGATACAGTTTAACTCAAAACTATAATAACCAAAATTTATAACTTCTTCAATAAAATACAATGTACTCAAAATGTACATTTTAACCGAAATAAGTCAAACAGGACCTACATTGTGAGCACATCATACAAAATTATTCATTCATTGCAAAAACCGTGGCAGTACCGGACAAAACAGTAGGACAATACCACAGTACAGTAAGTTTGGAGTAGTACAAGTTAATTGTGTCCAACTAGACGTTCGTCAAACACGGCCTGGCAAAGAAAAAGCCACTTTTGCACGGTCAAAGGCAAACACACCCGCAAATTGTTCAACCGCAACGGCTTTGTTCGAGGTTAGGTTGTGGTGCAAGGCATAGGAGAGAGAGAGAGTTGAATAAATTTGATAAGTTTTACTTAAAGACAAAAATGTAATAACAGTTAAGTTATTAATTATGCTTTGGGTTGAAAAGATAATCACCTTTAATAGATGATTTCAATCATGATACTATATTCAATGCTCTTATGAAGAAAAGGTGACAATAATTAAAACAAAACATTAATGATAATCGTATTTTTTAAATAGCACTTGCTAATTTTTAAGATGATGTGAAAAATGTAGCCCATAAATAATCTACTAATAATCTTACCAATTAATTATATTTTAAATTATATACCCTCTTACAACATAGTCGTTTTAAACTACTCCATAACAAAATCCGTAGTTTTCGAACCGCTATCAACCTCCAACTTGCACCCCCAACGAACCCAGCCGAATTTAAACAGGCGTCGGTGAATTAAACGTTGTAAAGTTGGACAATTTCACAGCACTGACACAACTATTGTGTTTGCCCAACCCTTTGTCGTTAAAAAGGTACATCTTATTTGAAGTGCACTGAGATAGACACGTTTGCAGACATAGGGGCTCACTTTGTTCAGTAATTTGCCAAATAAGTTGGGCAAATATTTGATTGAGTTCAAGATATTTTGGAGCTATCTTCGGTTCTTCTGTAAAATAGTCGAAAGGAAAGGAAAAATTGGTAACCAATGTTTTAGATTTTGTGGTGACTAATTTGACCGTACAATTTATTTTAAGAGAAAAACCTTTTTATTAAAAACTAGCGGCCCGTCCCGGCTTCGCACGGGGGGACTTAAGATTTTTACATAGTTTTACGTTTTATTTATATTTATTCTCAGTTTTTTTTAGCGACCTGCCCTCCGTTGTCGATGTCGCGTCTTAAGGTAACCGATTGAACAATTCAAAAGTTATCTAGAGCAAACTTTTATAAGGATTGAACCATTCATTAAAACGATTGTTATGGGTAAACTATAAAAGGTAGACATATGCCCTCGCGGACTTTTTTAAAAATAATGTTAAGATAAACAATTCATCTATAGAACATTTTTGTATAACTTTAACTATATGCTCAGCGCACGCCACGGAAGGCCTCAGAAACGATACTTTTCCCCCGTTTTTAAAACATTTTTGGTTACTACTCCACAACTATAGGACCTAGCGTGATATTATATAGCCTATGTTACTCCTGAATAATGCAGCTTTCGAATGGTGAAAAAATTATTGCAATCGGTTCAGTAGTTTTTGAGTTTATTCATTACAAACATACAAAAATACAAAAATACAAATCTTTCCTCTTTATAATATTAGTATAGATAATGCCTGATTTTATTGGACAATCGAGCAAAGTAGAAATTGAGAAATATAGGTGACTAGTAGCTAAATCTAAAAATAAGAATGAATAAACCGGTTAACGAGCCGACGGACTCTTAAATCGTAAGCAATCAGCGTCGTCCATGGGCACCCAAAACACGAGAGATGTTACAAATGCGTTACCAGCCTTTTGGCGATTAGGAATTTGAGGATTGTAAGGGATTCAGGAATTTGGGAGATAGTGGAAAATTTGATCTTTTTGACCGGACTAAGCCAAAGAAATGAGTCACAATTTCAGACTCAATAAATGTTCATTATCAACTCAATACATAATATTACCAGACACTTTTATATTTTTAACCATTTTGAAGAACGAAATATTATGAAAAATTAAATTACTTGTGCAGAAATCCTATTACACTTTAAATTATTTCCAGAAATAGCAGCTTAAGCACTTACAGTTACCCCACACCCTCGTACAATGGTAACTTCTATCTATGAAGCTGTCACATAATTCCAAGCTGTAAATATAAGAGAGAATCGCAGTCTAGTTGCCACGCTGAGCACGAAGTGTGTCTTGGCAGTAGTTCGGCTACCTGTCAAGTCATACGTTGCAGATATTTTATAAGCAAATATATTGCTATTTGATTTGAGGTGTCTGGCTATATATTTTTATGTGAGCAAATATCAAAACATGCTTTTTAGAAATCCGTTGAAACCTTAAATCATCCACGCTTCTTCGAACAATGTACCTTTCTCCGCAGCGACAATTTTCAATTTACCTTCAACATTAACTTTAAACGATAATAAATTAGTTTATGAAAAGATACTACACGATAATTGCACTTAATCACTTCGTACTAAAGTACAAAATCCACTAACTGATTTAATAAACACAGTTGTCTAGTCTGTTCGTCTAGTTTTACAACTTTGTGTAACGCGTTTAAATACCAATTATTTTAACTTTATAACAACGGACGAGCTTTTAGCATTTCGCTTAGATCGTGAGTTAGTTAGTTGGTGGCAATCTAATGTAGTAAATGAGAGGTTACAGGATGTAGTCGGTTTTATTGCGATGTTAAAGTGCCTCGAGATATTATGGTCACTTGGAAGTGCGGACAGCCTTAATTGTCATGAAGTTTCTCGTGTGGTTTCTGATTTTGAAGTGCTGCTTGATTTGATGGCCGAGGTCGAGCTATGTTATAGAGCTATTAAGAGAATGAAAGGATGTAGTATAGATAGGTACTGTAACGTCCGGGAATATGTAAACTATGTAGATTTTCAACAGTTATAATTTTTATTCTCATAACATAAGATTAGAGGCCTATTTATCAAACGCCTATCAGAATTCCAAACAGTAATCTCTGACTAAAATATCAATATCAAAAACCTAATCACATTTAGCCAGACTTTATCGACCTCAAGACACCATCACATCAAGAATCTATAAGTGGCCACTGCTGACTAAAGGCCTCTTCCCACATGGAAATGAGTTGAGCATTAGTCACCATGCTTGCTCAATGTGGGTTGGCGAATTCAAACTTATAATTCGTAATTATAAGCCCAGGTTTCTTCATGCAGATCTTCTTTAAAGTGTGAGAGAGCCATGCTTCGGCACGAATGGGCCGGCTCGACCGGAGTGACACCACGGCCTCACAGAAAACCGACGTGAAGCAACGCTTGCGTTGTGTTTCGTCGTGTGAGTGAGGTTACTGGAGGCCCAATTACCTTCCCCTTCCCCAATCTCCACAATCTCCCCAAACCTGAATCCCCAACGATCCTCAAACTCTTAATCCCCAAAAAGCCGGTGACGCACTTGTAACGCCTCTGGTGTTCCAGGTGTCCATGGGCGACGCCGATTGCTTACCATCAGGTAATCCGTCTGCTCGTTTACCGGCTTATGCTATAAAAAAATGATGTTTTCCTTCACCGTTTGTCAGTGGTGTGGCGTCTAAATAATCTTAGAAAGTAACTTACATATAACTTGCATTAAGTCATATTGCTACTTGACTGGTTTTGCACCGTCATACATGAGAAGCCAGTGTCTTAAATCTTCGGGCCACCACGACCTCATACTTAGCATTAACTCTTTCATCCACAAAACCAAATTGGTCTACAAAATATACTCTCATTCCCCTCAGGTTCACACAGAGGCAATAAAACAGTGTATTTGATTATAATAAAACAGTACAAACTATGGTAATTTGGTTAGATTCATACGAAGGCCTCAAGTTGGTTTGAAAGGGTATTAACAAATTGCTATAACGCGGCTTGTTGGGCTGAATTCTAAACGAGATATGAGATATTAAACAACGTTCTGCGAAGCAGATTATACATTACTTTACCGGAAAGTAAAAAATTCTCTTTGTACTTATTTTCCTTAACTTTAGAGAAGGTATATACTTACTTATAATCGTATCAAGGTCATTGTTCTCAGAAATTAAATGATGATCCATTTTTAAATTACGTGTCTTAATGTAGAGTGAAAATACATAAATGGTAGATCAAAATGCTCGAAGTTTGTTACAAAAGTTCGTCATCTGCATAGTGTCATCTAACTCTTAGCTTTCTGTGAACTGCTCAGTTCAGGTGTAAAACGAAACTACGTGTTAATCGGACATAACAACTTTTTACATTCATGGTGGATGTAATATAACATTCTCTTTCATACAATATTAGACTTCTGCAAGAACTAATGAAATGTACCTCTACAAAATCTCTTGTTAACAGGTGAACCACCGATCCGCTCCAGGTACGCTCGTCTCCTAGTCCTCGTGCCACCAGAGCCTCCCAAGATCCTCAAAGGTCCAGTTCTTCAAGCAGTTGAAGATAGAGAAGTTAATCTGGAGTGCATCTCTGTTGGAGGCAAACCTGCAGCTGAAGTACGTACTTATTGACCTTTGTGTCAGTCAAATTTTGAAAAAGTTTTATTTGGTATTAAGATACTCTCGAGAATAATATGGATTCTGGAAAGTATAGTAAACTAGCTTTCACCCGCGGCTTCGCTCGCGTCACAAAAGGATAAAAAGTCAATGTGACATATACCAATACACACATCTATACAAATACTTTTGTTTTCCCTCGGTAATATCAAATTTTTCCGGGATAAAAAGTACCCTATTATTTAATCCGGACTTCTAACTTTACGTCTGCAAAATTTCAAAGCAATCGGTTTAGTAGTTACGGCGTTAAAGTGGAACAAACAAACAAACTCACTTTCCGATTTATAATATTAGTAAGGAAGTAAGGATAAGGATGGCAACAGGTTCATTTTGTATACACTGTATGATCTTCCGATAAAGATTGTTATGTCGTAAAATTCATAATATGACAAGAAAACAAGAGATGTTTACATAATCAAATCGTTTATTTCGGTTGCAAACATGAATTAAACAAATGTACAGTTAATATTTAATATTTATAGTAAGACTCTCCACATTTTGCCGTCCTGTCATGCAAATAATGTACAAATATATACAAGTATTTTCTAATTCAATAATAACGAATGTGTACCGGACATAAGTTCTAGGAAAAGTTGCTAAATTGGTAATTAATTAGTAAGAAAGTTGAAGGGTACCTTTTTTGAAATTAATATTGTCAATAGAAATAAAGATTTATAAAGTTTTTAAATAATTACTAAGCACACTTCTTTTACAGATTACTTGGGTGGACAACGACGGTGGAGTACTAACACACGGAGTCAATTACACAGTAGTGCCAATGGCTGATAACCGGAGATTCACGGCTAGGTAAGGATTAACATACCTTTAAATTTCAAATCATTAACAATTACTGCCCTCCACAACCTCCTCAACAATCCTAAAAATCTTATCCCCAAAAGGCCGGCAACGCACTTGTACGCCTCTGGTGTTTCAGGTGTACATGGGCGGAGCTGATTGCTTACAATCAGGAGATCCATCTGCTTGCTGACCAGTTTTTCCCATAAAACAAAAAAAAAAAACATTAAAGAATCAAGTGCAAAATTATTGATCACTTAGTTAGAACTTGTCAATATAATGAAAATGATATCTAGTAATTTCTAAGAAATTTCTATTGAATTGCACTATCTTCGTATTGTACGTAATCAGTAATTTTATTTTACCAGGTCTGTGCTTCGACTGCGTCCAAGAAGACATCATCACAATCAGACGCTCACGTGTCAAGCTCAAAATACCGCAGATCGAGCTTACAGAGCAGTTACTATCAAACTGCAGGTAAGACTTATTTTTGTAAGATCACAAGCTATAATTATTATTATTAGTTATTATGCATTTCGGCAACTAAAACTGCTAAGACGAGTTTCTCGTCAAATCACGTCGAAAAACATAATAATTAATACAGTATATGTCACGAAAGTTATAATATAAAAGGCATACCATTTTTACAGTACTACGTTCAAATATATCTATTATCGTTTAAAAACGTACCTCCATAAATGGCAAACCTTTGTTCATGTTGCGGAGAACCTAACGGGTAACCGGGGCTCCGGCTCGACGTGCAGGAGAAGGAACGGGGTGGTTTTTAGTCAGTAAGAGTCTGACACTCCCTCCCGCCTCACCCAGGCGGGAGCAGTCATTCGATGATGTTCCCCCCTTAAAAAAAATCTATATACTTAGGTGGCAATTTATGTGGTAAACAGTCTAAGTAACATAACATATAACATAACATCACGCCTTTTATCCCCGAAGGGGTAGGCAGAGGTGCACATTATACCACTGTACAATGTAACACCCACTTTTCACTATTTATGTTATGAGTCCCATGTAATAGGGGGTGAGCCTATTGCCATATACCGGGCACAGTTCCAGACTCCGTGCTACTACTGAGAATTTTTAAAAAACCCAGTAATACTTTGCCCGACCCGGGAATCGAACCCGAGACCCCTTGCCCGGCAGTCGCAATTGCGATCACTCGGCCAACGAGGCAGTCTAAGTCTAAGTCTGTCACATTTTTGACGTTTCAGAGTCACCTTATTTACATCATTATTGTAACTTCTTAACTTAGTAATCTACACAAATGAAATATAATTCGCGATCTTAATCCTCAGAAATTATAAAACTTAACTGAAGTAACCAAATTGCTTTAATCCAATAACATTCTAGCCTTATTACATATTCCATTAAAATAATACCTTGTTACGTCACAAATGTCTTTGATTCAATTTAATTAAATAATCGTAATCAGCTAATTGATACTGGAAATGTCTCGAATCACAATCATGTTACAATGTCATGTGTAGTTGGAAACAATTATTATAAGGGTTTGTGTAGACGAGACGCTCCGCCGCCGCCGCCGTACCGCCAACACGCCGCGGCCGCCCGCCGCGTCCGTGCTCCCTAATAATACTCCACATTGCTAGCTAGCATGAAAAGAAATGTTCCTTGCAGTTAACAAAAACTGTTTAATATTGGTATTTATATGGGATAGGTCGAAGAACGATTAGACGGATCACTTGATGGTAAGCAATCGACGTTACGTCACCACGTATGGAAATCCGCAACACCAGAGGTAACGGGTAACCGGGGCTCCGGCTCGACGTGCAGGAGAAGGAACGGGGTGGTTTTTAGACAGTAAGAGTCTGACACTCCCTCCCACCTCACGTAGTCATTCGATGATTTTCCCCCCTTAAAAAGAAAGTGCGTTGCCGGGGGTCAGAGATTTGATGGTCTATGATTTAAGAATTGCGAAGATTGGGGAGGGTAGGAATTGGGCCTCCAGTAACCTCACTTAAGCGGCTATGTATGCTAAAATTAAGCAATTCGCACCCAGTAACGACAAGCACAGTGGCGGTGTAATGCCGGCGGCGCGGCGGCAGCGTCGTCTACACGAGTCCTTATTTCGTACACGAATTTATATTTCATAGATTTACCTAATTGTATTAAATTGTGTCTTGTTTGTGTAATTTGTGTTCAAGTCGTGTATTGGTTTGACAATCGTCTGCGGCTTGCTAAATTTCGAATATGTAGCGTTGATAATTATAATGGCGAATAGTGAAGAGTTTTGGTCGATTTACTTAATGATTAAATTGTTATTTAGCCTTTTGGGATCTGTTATCATTTTAGGTCGTCAGTCAAATTGTGCGTAGTTTTATACAAATCGAATAATATACATGGGGTAAAAATAAAACTGGTGAAAAGTGTCTAAAGATTGAGCAATATTTATGTGAAATTAATCACCAAAATATCACGTTGTGGAGCGTGCAAAAATTCAAATACCAACGATTAATAGAATACCTCGCTGCGATTATCATTTTATTTAAGTATCTTCGTATTGTGTAAAAATACCATTTCGGAAATACTACTAATCCATCCGCATAGTTCCCCAAATCACATTCCAAAATTATATTTAGGAACATAAAAATACAAGTTACATCATAAGCAAATCTTACATTCCGTCTTCAATTTATTCTAGGAAAGTGGACTAGACATTTAGATTTTCTCTCAACTTAATAAAAATATGGAACATGTAGAGAATATTAGATTCCTTCGCACTGGTGTTGCGAATGTAGGTAATGAATAAACTGAGTTATTTTACTTGCACGTGTATTTTTATATTAGACTACATAACTGACCAGGTATACATCATATCGCCTTAAATTTGTTTTCCAACCTTTTAAACCTTCCCTGGACTTCCATGTCCATTTCAAGACCAAAATTAGCCAAATCAAAATTCATTTTTGTTCATATAGACACTACCGCACGGTTTCGCCCTCTCTGCTCGGTGCCTGTTGATCGTAGGGTGATGTCTTATCGAGGGAGGCTATCGACGGTCTCCCTCGATAAGTGGACTATCCAACACAAAAAGAATTTTACTAATCGGACCAGTAGTTCCTGAGATTGGGGTGATCAAACAAACATAAAAACAAGCTTTTCAACTTTAATATATAATAGTACTAGCACGGTTTTACCCACTCTGCTCGGTGCCTATTTTATTTTTTTTATGGGAGAAAATCATCGAATTACTGCTCCCGCCTAGGCGAGGCGGGAGGGAGTGTCAGACTCTTACTGACTAAAATCCACACCGTTCCTTCTCCTGCACGTCGAGCCGGAGCTCCGGTAACCCGTTAGGTTCTCCGCGACTCCGAATCGGCATCATGTTAAAAAAGTTATGTTCTATTCATATTCTACGCGATCAAAGTCACGGGCAACAGCTAGTTAATAGTAATAATTAATGAAATTACTTATCTTACCTTGACGATGTTGTATCCTATATCTTTGTCTAAAAGTTTGACATATTAGGTGAAAACGATGTAAATTAAAATCATTCGTTTCTATCTATTCTATTAATATCAGAAACCTTTCGTGACTTCGTAGTACTTACTGAATATTTTAACAGATTCGACCATTTCTATTCTTGTGGAATAGTTGTAAGACGATTTTAGTCGACTCAGTGGTTCGCTGTTCAAGTCGAATTGATAGAGTTTTTAAAACTTTGCGTGTAAGATCTGAATTTGGTAGTTACTGGTCTAGTAATTTTGTTCTGCTCTATAGTGTAGAACATGATTTCGTTCCTTTTGACAATGTCTTTAGTAACAATGTTTTCTTGTGTATCAGTTATTGGAATGATTTCAGTAGTAAAATATAGCACAGATTTGTTTTCTTTGTTCGATAGACTTGCTATAATGTTTAATTTCTACTCTTTTTCTAAATTATTTGAGGTCTTCATTGCCAGCTGTTACACTTTTTTATCATTATAAGTTCTCATACGATTAAAATTTTATTTCGTCATATCGGCCATTCATAATCTTTATTCTCCTTCTACAATAGAATCTAAAAACCTTTAATAGGAATACAACAATTTTAAAACAACTAACCTCACCTTTGCTTAACTAAAAAGTCGTTGGCTGAAAAGTCTCTAAAGGTGTAGTAAAATTCAGTTCAGTACAATTTTACAAGAAGTCAACAACAACTTGGAACTTGGCAACAAATAAAGCCGCAATAAAACAAAACATTTCCATTCAGCTTCCTGATAAATTATACTTTTTACTTTGCACTGTTCTTCAGTAACATCCCCGCCATGATTTACGGGCAACCAATTTAACAGGTCATTTATTAACTGGAGCTAAATATTAATGCTGTTTGTTTTGCTTGAATAGTTTGGTTTTGAAAAGAAATGTAATTTTACTTCCAATGCATTATTTACGTACCCAGTAATTGATAAATGAAATGAGACTGACTTTGGCCTAATTAATGAGCAGGCTAAAATACTAAACATCACATAACCTCGACACAATGCTAATTTCAATAATACACTGACTCAATAATTTAAAAAGGTAAAAAAAGGCAACGTTTTCCGATATGCGAAAGCTAGATAAAAATTAACAGAAATAGAATAATCCAAAGGACATTAAAATCAATGTAGAAAACCACTATAAAACCAATACACAATTAGACAAATTGAACTTAAAAATATAGAATGTAAAAATGAAACTAAAACAGACATAAAGACAGTAGGTATGCTAATGATCACTTTGTAACCAAAAATGAACGTTTTAGCTTCCACAAAAATGAGATAATTTCATAGGACGATTAAGCCCACATTTCCTTTAAGACTTTATGGTTTAAATTCCCTTGGGCCCCTATCTTGTTCGTATAATTTTGTATTAAAATGTGTAGAAGGAAAAAGAGCCACGTTTGTGCCCATCTTTTTGCGACGCACGCCTTCGAGATGTTTTCCCGAATTACCATAAGGTAATAAATTGGTTAAGAAAATACCTCATGTTTAGTTGGTTTTTGTTTGTATGGATTTGTTACTTTGTGTTTGATTGTGGATTTATGGTATACAAGGACGTTCAAAAAAGCGAACGTAATGTCACTTAGATATGATTGAAGCACCAAACTATCAGTGGTGTATCTATGTGTGTGTGTGTGTGTGTGTGTGGTGTGTGGTGTGTGTGTGTGTGTGTGTGTGTGTGTGTGTGGTGTGTGTGTGTGGTGTGTGGTGTGTGTGTGTGTGGTGTGTGTGTGTGTGTGTGTGTTGTGTGTGGTGTGTGGTGTGGTGTGTGTGTGTGTGTGTGGTGTGTGTGTGTGTGTGTGTGTGTGTATGTGTGTGTGTGTGTGTGTGTGTGTGTGTGTGTGTGTGTGTGTGTGTGTGTGGGTGGTGTGTGTGTGTGTGTGTGTGTGTGGGTGTGTGTGTGTGTGTGTGTGTGTGTGTGTGTGTGTGTGTGTGTGTGTGTTGTGTGTGTGTGTGTGTGTGTGTGTGTGTGTGTGTGTGT